GTTCACCAAAGGTTGCTCCTGGCAACAATCAGGAGAAGTTAAAATGTTGCTCTTATTTCATGCAGTGATGCTGATTTACCATAGGTACTAATAAAATAGTGTGATCAGAATCTGTTTGTGTTCCCATATGGAAAATATAAATGCATGTTGTGAATTAAGTAGCATGTCCTGGTATTTAGCTAAGAAAAGTGAAATGCATTTTAAAAGGAATTAGTGCTTATGTACTCTTAAGTAATACTGAAGAATTAGGTTTTTTATATATGTATGATAATCCTTTAAACACTTCAGTATTTGGTTGATTTATGCAAAATTCTCCATGAACAGTAACTTTTCCCTATTTCTATAACACAGAAAAAAAAGTGAGTTTGAATGAACTTGGTTCTTGTATGAGCTGCTGAAACAAATTTGGAAGCAGCAAAAAGTGTAATAGTTTCAATCTGATCTCATGAGCTTTGATTGGAATTACTGCTACCAGATAAAGGTACCTAACTCAACTGCTTTATCAGGTTTATTCCAATTCAGACAACTTACAGTTCAATAATAATTACAGTTAATAACGGAAAGCTTTCTGACCAAATTTTATGTTTGGGAAAGAAAAGGTCTTCTTTCAATAATCACTTGAAGCAGTTATTGTATTAAAACAGAATAAAGTACTGTGTAAAATAGGCACAGAATTATTTTAGTTTTAAAACCTTTTATTTCAGATAAAGCATGCTGGTATATACAGAAAAGATGTGAGTCAAAGCAAGAGCAATACAGAATGGGCAACATATTCCTTAAAACTTACAAGATGCTTTTAAAAGCTTCAGTGCACCAGCAGTATGATATATTCTTCTCACTCCTAAATAATCTGTAGCAAAATGTCATTTCCTTGCAGATTCTGAGCAACCTCAGCTATCTCTCTTTCATATAATGATAAATTAAAGTTTCCAACACAAAACTTACAGCAATGGTTTCAGTAAATGACTTTTGCCAGTGCAATATATTGAAATATAACTTCACATTGCTAATATCTTATTTCAAACAGCATCATTCAACTATGCAAACTAAGCGTGTTATACATTTAGCAAAGTCTAGGTCAATCAGTTTTCCTTTTCAACTTTCTTTCTCTTACTTCATTATCTTTATAACAGTAAAACTCTGAAAATCTCATTCTTTTTCCTCCTAAAGAAATACTGTCAATAACCTTCCTCTCATTTTCTTCTAGAATTAAAGTCAACAGACTACAATAGTGACATTTGGCTGTATACTGAAGTTTGAGATAATAAAGGAAAAAAGCTAAACTACTTTATCATGAAGAACATGTCCTGGGTTGTGTCATGATTTCACCTTTGGTGACAGTGAATGGCTAAGAGGCTAAGAAAACAGGCTAACAGAAACCTAGTGCCTAGCAGCACGTCTTTGCACGGGTGGCAGGCTCAGGCTCTAAGTCAGGCCAGCAGTTCAGCAGTTAATGTGTTACTGGGACGAACAGGTTGCCCTCGGACTGGGGCGTTTAGCTTTTAACATTAAGGAGCTGCGCGGACAGGCCGTGATGCCAGTTGCGCAATTTGGCAAAGCGTGGGCTGTTACGTTCCGTTTCAAACCTCTCCCTGTGGCATGAGGAAAGAGAGAGACAGAGACAGAGAGAGACACACATACACAGAAGAAAGAAAGGAGGGAGAAAGAAAGGGGTTAGGGACCATGGCTACCACTCCCCTGCCTTACAACTAGGGCAGTGGCAATTTATTTGGATTTTTTCCTCAGCTTTCAAATCAGCATAGTGAAGGCTGGGTGATGCTTTTTGGAGCATGTGTGAAAGGTTTTGCAGTGGTTTATTTCTAAGAAGTAACTTGATATAACTTATTTTTTGACTTGTGCTTGGTATTACAGGGCTGCTTTTGCTAGAAATGCAGTGTAATCCCACTGTTTTCCTCCCAGCAGTTTCTCTCGGCTTCTCCCTCCCTCTCACACAACTAAGGAATCAGTGGAAGTTAACTCATACAAGTGCAAAATTAATGCAAATTGTTTTCCGTTCTCTAACACTTAGGTCGGCCCATATATAACCTGCTGTCCTTCCTTCAAGGACCACCAACCCCAGGTTTCAGCAGTACTTTTCTATAGCTTCCTCAGAATTAGTGAGTATTAGTGTTGACATTTTGCACAGATATTTCTGGTCACTTGTGTCACAAAGCAAAGGAGGGGATTTACAAAGCAGAGTCCTGTGAAATAGTGGCCATCTCCTGCCACCTCTGACTGCAGACCGGGGCACTTGAGCCATGCTCAGCATCTCTCAGGATTTAATCTTTTCTAGATACCCTATAGCTTAAATTCAGCTTTTGTACGTAAAAAGTGGAAGAAGGAAGATGTGAGATGATAGCACAGTCAAGGAGAAGTATATCAAACAGAATGAAAAAGAAAATGTTCTCGTTATTTGCAAAACTTTTTGCAGTCATTGCAAACAAGATCATTTTTTTCCTCATTATTTACACTCAAAACACGAGACAATTAATTGTGTTAATGCAGTGGAACTTGAGAGTGAAACCAGCCAAACAGAAAGGAGCAGACTGGGCTGGTTTTACTCCTCAGGCTGAGGAAAGCACAAAACAATAAACAGAGTAAATGCCAACAAATTCACTGATATTTCTAAATCTTTTGTGCTTAATAACACAGTGCCATGCAAGTAACAGTCCTAAAGGAGTCTTGATGTATGACTTCTCAAACTATTTTTTATGCTTTTAGGTAATTAAGAGATATAAAGTATTTCCAGCTGAAACTTTCTGATAGCATTTTTTTCCAGCTACACCAGAATATACTAGCTCCAGTGGGTCTGACATATAATTTAAGAACTCCCTTACTGCTTTGAAGATATTACCCCTCCATTCAAGGAAAAGGTATTCAGAAACATCTGTTTGGCTTGAAATGGATCGCATCTCTCCAGAAAATATTCCACAACAATCATCACACCAGCAATGAGCAGTTTTCATAGCAAGTTATACTTTTATGTGTGCCTTCAAAACAGCAGCAGCATGAGCAAAGGACAGTCATACAACACACTCATTAATATTAACTGACAGGAATGTTCTGCCACCCAAATTCCCAAGTTTATGGGTTTTTTGAACATATGTCATGAAATTGGAAGTAGCAATCTAAAAGTGCCTATTTTTATGTAAAACGTTTCTGCCAAAAATAAGCTACATCCTTCTTCCCTCCACTCCTAAGTTTTTGAAGAAACCTGATCGCCATTCCATGCGATTCCTGCTGGCTGCACTGAGGAGCTGACACAGAGACAAGAGAAACACCAGGGAGAGATTGCTCTCAGCCTGCCTGGGGCCACATGATGGATGCCTGCACAGCCAGGGTCCTGCTGCCAAATCCCCAGTGGAGTTTGTCCAATGTTTGAGGTGGGCATCAAGCACCCAGATGGTGCCAGGCTCTCAGTGGGCTAGGAAGGAGATTCCAGTTCATTCCTTGCACCAGAGCTTACACCAGTTGCACTGTCCCTGTGTAACTACCTATACATGCTCTCTTATGCCTCTACTATCAATGCACACCTTAAACCTGTTCAGCTGTGCCTAAACATAACCAGAAGCATCCTTGGGCTAGAAAAGAATAACACAGAGATACCTAAAGACTGCAGAAAATGTGCAAAGCATAGTGGATGTAGTCATGTACTTGGAATTACACTGGATAGAATGTGCAATTTACATGTGTTGATGTATTATCAGGTAATTATTGTCAATGTATCTCATGCCATGTCAATTTTCCACGATTTTGTATCTTCCAAAGCCACGGATTAGACCTAGCGAGATTATTTCTTTAAAACCACATATTACTCTGAGATATGAATGGGCAATGTTAAGTTCAGCACAATGCTTTAAATCCCATCATAATAAGGATTTGGATGTGTGCTATTACATCAAAACAGATAATGCACAATACATGTAATGAGAATTAGGCTTGCATATTTGAGGGAAGAAACAAATCCCTGAGGGCTATAATGTCAAGCCTGATGTTCAGGCACCCAGCCATGAACTTGGGCGAACTGCAGCGGAGGGTTTACAGAAAACACCAACTGAAAGCATTCTTGTATTCTCACAGGGAAGACAGCAGCTCTCTTTCTTACTGATTCAACATTTGCAATCTGCACTGTGATCAAAAACTCAGAACCTTTGAAGACCCCACAGAGCAGTCAAATATAAAATAGAAAAAGAAAAGGTGGATTGAATACCAAACACATCACAAACCCAGCTGGTGACTTAGAGCAGCTACAGTGAAACAGGGATTTGAAGTATGCAAACAGAAATTAAGGATTGCATGCAGAATGCTTCTGACTCAACTGCAGTTTTTAAGCTCAACACAGTAATATTTAATACATCTATTTCCTGGCTATGCAGGATGATGATAAATCTTTAATTCCATATTATGTCTCTGAACATATCCTCTTTTTCAGTGTTTTTGATACATCATATGAAACAAATAAATTTATCCATTAGCAAAAGCAGTCCTGTGCTTCCATATTCTACAAATTTAGGTCATATTTATTCCAAATAAAACATAAACCAATGAGTATGGGTATGAATGGAAACAACTCCTTTACTGTATCATTTAAGGAGAATCGAATCTCAATCAGAGGGACATCCAAATAAATTGCTCACATATTTCAGTGCTATCACAACATTACATATTTTTTATCCACTTACACATTCAAGTAGTTACACAGGGCTTGGAACTCATCACATCCACACACCCAGTACAGGAAAGTTGCATGAGCAGAGAGCTTTCAGATTTGAATGTACACTTCAGCAATTTTGCACTGTTTTTCCTAAAAACATGCTGATTTGTTATCCTTCTCATTCAAATGCCTCTCAATGCATTTTAATTTTAGTGATTTTTAAGTAAATGTGTTAGAATTTTTTAGGACAAAAATATAATAAAGGAAGTTCATATTAATGCCATTTTAAAACATTATTGGGTTATCAGGAAGGAGAAAGCTGTATTTTTCACAGGGACTTGCCTACCTTGACCTCCTCAGGGCTTCTTCATCTGGATCTTGCACTGTAGAAAAAAATGATTCAGTTAAAAAACAGAAAGAAAGGAATTGGCTTTATGCTATTTTAAATTCTTTAGAAACTTATCAAAAGCCTATCTAAAGGTGCATTCACACTGACTTTGCAGCAGTGGAATTTGAAAGAATATAATGAAGATAGCAGTTCCCTAGGGACAAGAAGGAGGATGTTAGGAGGAAGGTAGCTATTACAACTACTTTCCCATTCATTATTAGCAGTGTTTCACAGCTGTAGGCAATGATTCTACAGAGAGGTCCTGCTGTTTTGTACAAAGCAGGAGAGACAGCAGCAGCACATTAAGGGGGGAAGGAAATACTAAATATTTCCCCCTGAGGTGGGAAAAGGCCCTGACCTTCATTCTCTTTACATCAGGAACCACCCGTGAGCTGAGTACCAGGTAGCCATAAAAACATTTCCATTGGCAACAAGGCCAAAGCTCTGTGATGTTCATATCAGATCTAGGGTTAGATAATAGGGCTGATAGAGACATAGGTTCCATACAAATGGTGATTACTGATTTTTTTTGACCTCCAGAAGTCACTTCTGTTACAGGAGACATGACTTGTTTATCATTTTTGTCTAAAGAATGGACAGGTCTGTAGGTCTCGGCTGCAGGAAACCCAAACATTGCACTGCAGAGACTCAATTTGTAAGCAGGAATAACTGTGGGGTCCTAAATGCTCATTTACTGTACAATCTGTTATACTTTTATGCTGAGGCCCTTGGCAATTGTCTTTATAAAGCATAAGGGCAAGATTGTTCACTTTGATTTCTGAGTTCTTTCAAGTTACATCCAGGATATTCACCCTTCTGACAGCTACATGAGCCTGGACATGAGTATTCCCTGAGTATCAGTGGTAGATACCAGGGCAGTGAGGAAGAGATGTGAATCTAAAATCAGGATGAGGGGGATGTTTTGCCATTCAACTTACTGTACTCAGTTCCAGTCATCTGGGCAAGGATGCGGAAGGACTTGGACTGCAGGTTGGCAGAGCGACGGCTCCAGTCCTCACTGTCATCCTCAGGCTTGTTCTGAGTTTTAAGCACAGCCTGATACACTGGAGAGGCACTATCTACATGAGGATCCTTTATAGGGAGGGTGCTGCAATTCAGAAAGGGAAATGTTGGAAGCAGATCTCTGGTCACAGTTTCTCACCCAGCCATCCCCAACATGGCTTTGAAAGGATCACGTCTTAAAAAAATACACAGATCATATATTATATTATGGCTCATTCTGTCTCTGAACGGGCCTGTTGTCATTCAAATCTGTTTGGAAATGTCTGTTCATGATTCCTCAGCCAATGCAGGTACACAAGCGTGCCGTGGTTAGAATAATACGTGGAGAATAGGCCAGGCAAAACCATTTATTTCTCTGACCATTTTGGTTACATATTATTTCTTATAGAAACAACTTCATGTTGGTACTGTTTTAGGCTTTCTTTAAATTACAGTGTTGAGCCAGTGTACCTTAAGGTTGCAATTAGAAATAAACCCATATTTCAGTATAAAACCAATGAGGTAGGTTTTTATTGCTTTTTCTAGAGATTATTCTTTTTCAAACTGAATAGAACTTCAATCTGCCATAGTCTGGATTCATTGTCTACTAAACATGTGAAGCACAGGAAGTCTAGTCTTGCATTCAAGATTTACATATATAAGTAGTATCTGAAATCTTTAATGACAGAATGTATCTCAGGATCTTACAACATGCTTAATCATCTTGCAAAGTGATACATCCAGGTGTGCACAGCTAAAATCAAAGCTACATAGGTAACCTCGATTTGATTTATGATGCAGGCTAGAAACAAGCATAGTAACTTAATAGGTTTTGGTGGGTTTTTTTCCCCAGTGAAAAAAACTTCTGCATAGCAGAATTAAAATTAACTATTAACAGAGCTGCAGAAATATACACTGAGGGAATGATGTGTGCTTGGAGCAGCTTGGCTCCATGGCTGCTCTAAATACAAGGTCTATTTTTGAAGCAAGTGATTTATTGTAACAGCTTTATGCTATTCCATAAAGAGCTTTGTAAGCAACAAGATCAACTTCATGAAAACTGAGAAACAGTTCTGTTTAAAGTACAGGCCATTTGGTCCAACAGTTGCTTCCTTGGTTCAGGCTCAAAGTTAGTGCTAAGATACCACTGTGCAGAGAAAATCTACAGAGAAGTTTGGTCTGTGATTTGAAAGCCTGACAGGAGTCATGAAAAGCCAGGAACTATGTCTGACATTCTACATAAAGTGGGATGCAAATGTTACCAGGTAGTGCTTTAAATATCAGAGTTTTTCCAAGCTGACACACTCCTCTTCTTCATCACTAGGTAGTATACACTGCTTTGATGGATTTACACACAATACCATGTATTTATAACCCCCATATATGCAAACTTCTCACTTTCCTGAGGAACTACCCAAGTGCAAACCCCAGTTAAGTTTTTTTTTGTGTGTTTCCACACAATCAGCTGTGGAGTGGAAGGCAGCTTAGGTGAATTTAGAGAAAAACTTGACTCTTTGGTTTAAGCTCTGCCACAAAACATACAAGTTATGTAAAAAAGTTCCTTAGTGTGAAAGATGGCATGTAGGAGGAAGCAACATTTTTGAGTTCCTTTTTTAGCTCGTGTTTCCTAGACCACAATCCTTACAATATCCAAACACTAGCAGGTACAGAAGGCAGAATGCAGACTTGTTTATTTTGGGAAGGCTCTGCCATCAGTGAGTTCCATTAGTGCTGCTCCTGTGTGCAGCAATGGACAAAGTGGTGCCATAGCCTTCTTCAGGTGGAAGAGGGGAGAGAGAACGGAGTAGTCCTCCTCTTCTGGTCCATTACACAGAGCTAAAGGGCTTGCTGAGGCAGGAAGAAAAGCACAGCAGTGAGTTCTGCCTTCTCCTGCCTTCTGCAGGAACAGTGTTTGCATGGCAAAGAGATTCTCTGTAATACCAACAATAAGCCACAGTCAACGCCCTTGGGACTGTTCTGCTGCTGCTTCTGACGCTTGGCTATGCTGAAAGTTCTGTCACAGCAATGTTCCCCAAAAGGTGACCCTGTTCAAGTCCCCAGGGCACTTCAGGGTGTTTCACATCCAGAACCTGCCCCGTATGAATACCAGAGGTGACTGTCTGATGTGGGCCAACAGTTAACTTCATATCCCCACACTGACTTCTTAATCTTGCAGAAGCTTGAAAACCTGCTGTATGGGACAGCAAATTTCCCAGCTGAACACTGTTCTAGAGTGGGTAATAAACCACTGGATAGACACTGCTGCTGATTTCAACTATGGACCACTGTGGCAGCAGTGGTGTTCCAGCCACAGACACTTCAAATTCCTCTGTTTAAATCCTCTAGCTCAAATGCTTTCTTTGCATATTATGATCTATGTACAAAAAAGCAGTTCAAAGGTTTATGTATAGATATGCCATTAACGCAAGCCTTGTTAAAAAACTAGAGCTGGAGGCTGGACTACAAATTTCAGAGTAGCAATGTGTGGCATTAATATGACATATTAATATCCTTATGGTAGATGATTAAGGCAGGAAATGGAGCTTGGTGAATTAACCTCCCCAGCAGAGTGAAACATGCTCATATAAATTGAACTAAATTAATGCAATACATTGGAGCATTTCCAACTCTGTCTTTAATTCAGCAGGTCTTTTTCTTTTTTAAAAAAACATAATTATATTGTGGATGAATAACTAGGACATATGAGCCACTCAGCATGGAAGTGTAAAATAGAGCGCATCGCTGATTATGAGCATTTCATAAACCTAAATGCGACAGTTGATTCTTACAGACAGCCTAAAGATGCACATAACCATGTTAATACCTCTGTTATACCTCTTTGTAATTCAATTTCTTTCCATCTGGGTGTGGATGTGCAGAAATATCATGCATCTTTAAGCATATTACTTTAAATTGATGCTACTGAAAAAAATCCTTTTCCCAAATGGGTTAGAGCTGTGCAAGTTTTTAATCTAGAGCCTAAGGTATTCTAGTAGGAGTCAATAAAAATTATTTTCCTTTTTCTTATCATCATTTAAGTCACACATTTTTACCATTAAAACAAGCTTTAAAGACAGTCAAACCTCTCTGAATAAGTAGCCATGGAATTTTATTTTTTGGATTTCATTATAAACTATGGTTTACTGCGTGAATCACTCCCTGGAGACATTATGCAAATTTAATTTCAGTAGATATTAAGTAAAAACTTAGAAACACTGCAGTGTTCTACCCCTGATGTAGACCTACAGCAAAATATTGTGACATCAGATATTAGACTGATTCCAGCTATTTTAAAAAATGCTCTAAGAGGTAAAAACCCCACAACCTAAGAAACAAAAGTTCACGTAGACTGGTAAATAGCCAGCCAAGTTGACTTATTGCAGAGGACACACAAGACCTTAGTTTGTACAACCACGTTATTTATTCTGCTACTTCAACTGTCAGATCTTATTCCAAATAAAAGTGCTGGATTTGTGTCTTTATAGAACTTGTGAATTTGGCTAAAACCGCATAATGGAATTTAGAAGTGGTTTGACAGAAATTACTCAAAATACACTGTCCACATGGTTTTACTGCAGCCACCTAACTCCTGGTTCTTGGTTTAGCAAGATCAATTGAAACAGAAAAAAAAAAAAAGAGTAGAAAAATATATAAAGTCAGGGCATTCAAAATTTTCTACCTTTAAGTTTCAGCATGGAGTCTGAGTATGAACAATTCTGTCCTTCCTTTATGTTTTCCATGGTGATCCAGTAAGTGTGGCTTATTCCAAAGTAACAAGAGCCTGACTGATCTCATGAAGATACAACATCACTGATTTAAAATGGTGAAACTAGAAAATGAATTCCTATCTTAAGCCTGTCCTTCATCACTGATAAAATAAGTAAACTGTTTCCAGCTGCTGTCTGTCCTTAAGATGTGCAGTCTGAGTGTGCTTACCACCCTACAGACACTTGTAGACAAATGAAAAGGACTAAGATTATTAATTAAGAACCAAGACCAAATTATAGGCTGATAACTGGGACAAAATGAATCAGCACACAATTTGGTCTGCTTTTGTATCAAAAACTTCTCATACAAATACTTCCACATTAAGCATAATCTTAACTCAGACTTGATCAATTATGCAAACTAAAGAACATTATGGTTTCCACTGCAAATTAAAGTTCAGAATATCACAGAGGAAACTAAAGCAAACTTATAAAATGAAAAGGATCCTCATACGCAGCATTAACTTTATAATCATCTGATAATTTAAATAATTTTTTTAAACATTACTATTTGCATCATATAAAGCTACAGCATTTAATAGAAATGCCAACGTATCATAAAATGTCTCCTATAATCCACACCTATGAAGGATGTGAACTCTTATAGAGAACACAAATGAACTTCTTTGTACTTCATCAATTGGCAATATGAGTCTACTCAACACCTGTGGAGATTCACTGAGTCATGGCCAAAGCCAGCTAAAGGTATTGCTTGTGATCCAGCATGAGGGACAGCTGTGATGAACAGCAATATTGGTGCAAAAAGTTAGCAGAAAAGAAAAATAATTGTAAAAAAGAGAGAAAAATGGCCAGCAAAAGGGAGCACAAGCAAATACATAAACCATTCTCATTTTGAATAAGCCTGCAGCTAACACATGGAAAAGAAACTACATTGAAGTGTTGCTATAGCTGTATTTTGGTGTCATATCAAAGGAAGGCAATTTCTATTTTAGGCAGAAGTGCACCTGGTAAGAGATAAACCTGGCTACTTTTATTGCATATGTAATTTCAGTAAAGTTATTACAACTCTGGATAAGTTAATCAGGTAAGATTACCAAAAACATGCATTGGAAAAGCAGAGTTATTAAAGATCAGGGGATTTTGTCATAGTCCAAAGGATCTGTGTAAAACACATGTACTGTATGTAAACTGGGGATAGGGAAAATACAGCAAAACATTCCATTCTGAAGAATAAAACAGTAGCCAGCACTAAATAAATATTTTGCATTCTTCACTTCTCAATAAAAATTTCATCCTCCTTTTCTCTCTTTTCTGAGCTATGCATACAATAGTGACTATTATAAATCATGACTGCCAGGATGAAAAGTCATTCAGTATC